GTTTTGGCGTGGATTTGTTGGCGTGGTTTTCCAGCCTGTGTGGTCTGTGGATGCATTGCCACAGAAACACCGAGGCTCATCTGTTGAGGGCATTGCAGTAGCCGTGCTTGGGCCGGTGCTGCTTTCGCCACCGGTAACCAAGGGAGACTGGAGCCGATTTTTCGAACGTGAGCCTCTGCCTAACCCACGAACGCGGACCTTGTTAACCCGGGCGACGTCCGAGCCGGTATCATACTTAGATCTGGTTACTACCATCATAAGTTTCTCCACAGAATGTGGGTGTGTGGTCACTCTTAGCTTCATTTCTCCCCATAGACCTTACTGGCATGGGTGTCCCTACCAGGAGCTTGTGCTCCAGCCTGCATTGCCCTATGGATCAGTAAAATTACTGGGCTCTCCCACCACGACCAGGTGGTGACCACGGGAGAGGTATTATTATTATTATTATTATTTGTTACAGTACCCCAAATTGTCAACCCTCAATTGTACCCCAATGGGTTTCAATTTGTTATATACAGTTGAGGAAAAAAAAATTCGCCCCCACAGAAAATATAAGTAAATGATAATTTATTGTTATTTTCTAATTCATATGATATTTTTCTTGTATTATTAGAGTCTAATAATACAAGAAAAATATCATATGAATTACAAAATAACAAGAAATTATCATTTACTTATATTTTCTGTGGGGGTGAATTTTTTTTTCCTCAACTGTATATTACTTATATTACTATTATTACCGTTATGTATTACTAGGTATTACATTGATAAATTGAATAAATGATGTTTAAATTAAATTTTTAGTTATTGTTTTCTTTTCAAAATTATCATGGGAGGCTATAATATGAAAGATGCTAAAAAGAGGCGATTTCGTTTTTTTTTGCTCTTCGCCATGGGGTAATATAAACTTACACAAAAATATTTTGGGGTAATGATTAAAAAAGTTCCCTGACCGCTGCTTTAGCACAAGAAGGTTAGGAGGTTCTGCACCACCCTGCCTAGAGCCTTGATCTATCATCATGTAACTTTCATTTGTTCAGACCTTTAAAAAAGCTCTTAAGGGACAACTCTAACTCCAATGTGGTAGTCAAGGAAGCAGTCACCCAATGGTTCAATGACTAACCAACAATGTTTTTCACAGATGATAGCAGTCGTCTCTCTGAGCAGTGAGATGTGTGCCTAAATGCCTATGGTGACTTTTTAATGAACAAAAGTACATTCTGGCTTCCTCATATATTGCTTTGTTTAATTATGCCATACCGACGGATATACTGTTTTGTTTTTCTTAGTAAATTTACTCAAACATGTTTCATTTGATCAATCCTTGTGAATATATAGATGGTTTTTATAAACATAAAATGTCATCAGCAATAATAATTAAATTATTATAACTTATGACTGATAATTATTTATTAGAAATTAAATATATTTTATTCCAAAACTTTAAATATTTAATATTAAATTACAAAAACTAACTTTTTTGAATCTTTCTTCAAAGGTGGTTGTACACACTGTCTTGATATTTCTTTGGCTTGAGCCATAAGATACTTTTTAAAAATCTCAGGAAAATTACAATCTTTGTATTCTAATCTAACAATAAGATAATATGAATATCTATAAATTGCTCTATTAAATTTTATAAATACAGTATTAGTAAATATTTTAATTTTTTTATTTTCAAATAAACAATACTAAAATATAACTTACATATTCCAAAAGCTCATATTTCATTAATATTCAATTATATATTTCATTAGGTTATATAAATAAAAGTTCAAAATAAGAATCAATATTTTTCTAATTGAAGAATATTGATTTTATTTTATTATTCTATAACATTCTGAAAGATAATAAATTTTAGAAATTGATAATTATAATATTGATTGAATAAATAAATTAACAAAATTTGACAATGTAATACACCAGCCTTACTAATCTATTATTCTCAAAATAATTCATATAAACTTTGTTTTTGCTAATGAATTATATAAAATTTAATACGAATTTTAAGATATCAAATATTTGAAATAAAAATAAAACATTTATAAACTGTCTCAGAAAAATGTTACAAAATTAAATTATCTAAAGCTAATATTTTGTTCAGGGAGAAACAGCTTTTGGGAACAAATAATAGTAGTGTTGTGATATATTGTATGCAGATTACTATAATTAAATATTTAATGGATTTAAATTAAATTTATAGTATTTAAAAATTTCCAAGATATTAATAAGTTTAAATTCGATGATTTTAATTCCTGATAATAGATATAATTATAACTATGACTTCAATAATGTTGACAATTTAATACAATATAATTAGCAAGGCTGTATTACAGCCTTGCTAATCTGGCCATTCCTTGCACAGAGATGTATCAGATTATTTAGAGTGTACAGCCTAAAGCCTATCTAAAGACAATGTATAACTTGACTTATCACTCTTTGGACTGGTTCTTTTTTGGAGGTAAGTGTGCATATAGTACAGTCTGCTGATGTGCAATTTTGTAAACAGAAATAAAACCCAAGAGAATAGAAAAACAGGATCTATAACTTTACTAACATTTTCATAAAAATGGAGGTGAATAGGCAGTGTAATCACATTGGGAGTACCAGTGTGATTGCCTATGCCAGATTATTAAGAGCCAGATTATCAAAGAATGTACTATATATTGATGTATACAACATTCATACCTTGTCTGTCAAAATTAATTAACTTTTTATCATTAGGAATCTGAAAATTTTATAAACTTTGCAAATATATTTGTCTTATATACTCTAAGAGCATAAAATATTATATATTATTAAGTTGTAACGTTAAGTTGATTAAAAAAAAAGTTAATAAATGATTCATTAAATGATGATAAATTAAATTTATTTAAAATTAGCATATTATTTCACTTGGACTTCTATTCCTATAATAACAGGAAAACTTTCATTGAGATGTGCTTTCAATAAGAATATGATACATTATTATTTATTACAACAATAATGTTTATTTCCAATTTTTAAATGAATGTAATGATTACTTTTCTTACAAAACAATTAAAAATTTAACATATTTTGTTTACAGATTTGAATTAAAAAAGTTACTATAAAAAGGATAAAAGAAAACTACTTTGCTTATAAATGAAAAGCTGGTTACTTATGTTTATCAATGTATAAAAATGTTTGTATTAAAAAGGTAGTAAAGCTTTCTATAAAATAATAACTATCATTTGGAATTGCAATTTTAGATGAAGATTAATTGTTGTTAAAGTAACTTCACTGTATTTTAAAGTTTAAAATATTATCAACATTTAATAGGATTATTAACAACCCATAGAATCTTCTGTAAAATAATAACTTTTGCAGCTTACATTATGTAAGAAAATAAAAAAAAGTTCAGATTATAATTTTTCATATTTTTACAATAGACTTCTAGAAAAAAGGACATTCCAGGTTCCTCATTGACATGTATGGAATGTATTATTGAAAGTCAAAAGGTAATAATTTAAAAAGTAACTTTACAATATAATAGTAAATGTTAAAATAAATATTTACTTACATTTTATGTACCAAGGATTATAGAATGATTAAATGGATAACACTTAAATTCAAAGGATACCAAACAATTAAAAATATGACATTAACATCAAATTCTCAGAATATTACTAATGATAAAAGTAGCAAGACATAACTTTAAGTTACTGAATTATGATAAACAGCAATTATTATTTAATAAATGAATATCATGACTTTAATAAAAGTAAGTAAGTAATGTTGCTAAAAACTTTATTCTATTTTGATAGGTTATTGTAGTAATAACAACTGCAGCAAAAGGTAATGTAATAAAAAAAATGAAGCAACTGCCATAACAATTGTAAAATAACAAAGTAAAAATACTGAATAAAAAGAAAAAATAAAAGAATATCCATTGTTGCTGTTGATAAAAACCCAAATGTATATATACAGAGTGGTGCACCAGATATTGAAACATTTGTTTCTCATTTTATGGTTGTACTATTAGAATTAGATATTTCAAACTTCACATGTAAATGCCGTGGTTTATAGAAAACCTACTATGGTTCAGCACAGATCGGTTGGTAAGATGGCTGACAAGAAATATCTTACCATTGAACAAGGAGTTGGTGCTTTTTTATGCCAGATAAAAGAGCATAATTATTACAGAGACACATTTCTATCAACATTTCAACATAAGGTGGGCTCCGACTAAAAACACAATCTATAGATTGTTACAGCAGTTTGAAAAGGAACAGTGTAGAACTAAAATGGCATGTTTCTCAAGTCTGATCACTGGAGAATGCAGAAACCATTACTGGCAATACAATGCAGCCCTGGCAAGTCAACAAGAAGGGTCACAGCTCAACTTGGAACTGCTCATCGCTCTATTCAGCAGATTCTCCATTCAGACTTCATTTATTCTCTTACAAAATGACAGTACTGCATTCTCTAGCCAAGCAGGTCAAAGAACAAAGGCTTCATTTGGCAACTTGGGTAATACAAATTGTAGGCATCCACACAACACCTGGTTTTCAGATGAGGGTTATTTTCATGTGAATGGCATACTAAATAAACAGAATATCAGGTTTTCGGCTAAAGAATATCCACAGAACTTTCATTTTCATGGAAGGGGCGATTACAGCATATTCTGCACCACTCACTGATCTGTGTCAATGAGTGGTGAAGAATGTAATGTTTGTTTTGAAGAGCTTGTATGACAAAACAGTGGCCACATTGAACACATTTTCCATTAATAACAAATTTCCATGTTTTTGTATTTCAAAGTGTATCTAGTTTGTAAATTTATATGGCATAAGTGAATTAAACCTAGATATAAATGGTCAACATCTCATATGCCAACCTGTATATATAATCATCATAGAGAGTATTGACAAGTAAATTTAGACTTGTATTAGAAAGGGAATTTCTGAATATTGACACGTAACAGTTCAAAGCATATTAACAACATGCAATAAAATATTGTAATTTCAATATATTGGTGAAATTTAATATCATCTATCAAACATTGATATTCATCCACCTGAGAAGCAAGAATCAAATACAGTATAAGACATTTTCTTTGACATGCAGGAAATAGCAAGCAAGCCATTTTGTTGCTTTGTAATAATCAAAGGCAACATTTCACTCTGAATTCAAGGAAATTCCTTCATCACAAACAGTAAATTTACAATGAATATTAACTTTGATACAAAGAATTACTATATAACAAATAAAATTAGCAATATTGAAATAACACATGTATAAAATAAAATGTCAAATATCAATGATATTTTTGAGTTATATTTTCTCTTGAAAAATTCATTAGCATCCTTTTCAGAATTTTTGGAATATGATTTATTTTCTTTGTTTGCAGATATAGCAGTTTTTAATATTGAGTTGCTATCTTTCATTATGAAATGCCAACCAATAATATTGAACCAATGATTGATATTAATACTGATTGATTTGGGATTAACTAGGGAAATTTTAGATGAATTTTTCTATAACGCAAGATAAAAATATAAAATTTCAATATATTATTTCTTTTTCTTCAAAGCATTGTTTCACTTTAATTGTACTATATTGAAAACCACTCTGTATATAGTATATAAGCACCCACAGTTTTATTCTTTTATTTAATGCCAGGAAAAACTATAATAGCTGGTTGCAGTTTGGTTCAAAAACCACACATGAAAATATATCAGGTCAGTCCGTAAGTTCATGCATATTTTTATCTACAAAAAATCAACAAAAAATTTTAAATAAATTTTATTTCAATCTATAATGTATTCACCATTATTTTGTACAATTTCTTGCCATCTTGATGGTAGCTTTTTAATCCTGTCTTCATAAAATAATTTTGGTTTCAAATCAAAATATTCAGAAATAGCCTTTTTTACATTGTTCTCATCCTCAAAAGTTTCCCTTTTAAAAAATTCTGCAAACTGCGAAAAAAATGATAATCACTGGGAGCAATATCTGGCAAATATGGTGGATGAGGTAAAATTTCCCAGTTGAAACTTTTGAGTTTCTGTACAGTTATTTTTGCAGCATGTGATCTGGCATTGTCATGTTGCAAGAGAACCTGCTTTCTATTCACTAATAACAGTCGATTTTTTTTTTTCAATTTTTCATTTAAATGCTCTAATTGGTCACAATACATTTGAGCTGTAATTGTTTGATTAGGTTCTAACAGCTCAAAGTGAATTACACCTGACATATCCAACCAAATAGACAAAAGAATTTTTTTTTGGATGCAACCCACCTTTTGCAGCCAGTTTTGGCTGCTTGTTGCAATCTGTCCATTGTCTTTTTCTCATCACATTATTATAAAAGATCCATTTTTCATCTCCAGTAACCAGCCAATCAAGAAAAGGTTCTAAAGCAATATGGGATAAAAGAGATGTGCAAATGTTTACATGTTGTTGTCGGTTAGCTATTGACAGTTCATGTGGTATCCATTTTCCTAGCTTTGAAACTTTTCTGATTTATTGCAGGTGTCTATGAACAGTTCTATGGGATGAATTTAAATGCTCCACAATTTCATCAACTGTTAAAGATGGTTCTGCTTCAACTAGTGCAGAGAGAGCATCATCATCAAAGTCAACAGGTCTTCCAAAGTCATGGTTCTGCTTCAACTAGTGCAGAGAGAGCATCATCATCAAAGTCAACAGGTCTTCCAGTACGAGCCTTATCCTCCACACTAAAATCATTGTTTCTAAATCTTTCAAACCACTTCTGCGCAGTTCTTACACTAATTACAGTTCGATTATGGACAGTGTTTAATTTTTTGGCTGCATTTGTAGCATTCTCACTACTTAAAAATAAAAAGTATAAAACAGGTCTCTTATATTCATCTGTTACTTCCATTTTAACAAAAATAAACAATTGAAATGTTACCAATTCTGAGCAGTATTATATGAATGAGATCCAATTTAACACTTCAGTGTAAAAAGTATCACATTAGACTGACATTTTAAACAGGAAAACAAGATTTTTCTCAAGGTCATAAAAATACACATGAACTTATGGACTGACTTGATAATAAATTCTTCAATGTAAAAATCAATACTTACTCTATTTGTTTCAATGGATAATTTTCTGGTATTGTGATTTTGATAGCTAAAAAATATAAGTCCTGAAATACTCTTAAAGAAATAGAAGAATTTTTTTGCTTTAGTTTCAGTTCATCTTGTTTATCAATTAATTCTTTTTTGATATTTGTAATTTCTTCACTGCAAACACACAATGGATTATCATCAATAAAGTTTCTGATAAATTTTAAAATCTTCAATATCTGTAAAGTAAAAGATTTTCATAGAAAAATTTGAATTAACAGAAATTTAAATTATATATGCTAAAACATAACAGAAATGGAATGTAATTTATGACAAAATGAATTTCTTAGTTCATTTCAGCCTTCAGATGCAAAAAATTAAATTAAAATTTTTGATGATTAAAAAAAAATTACAAAAATTTACTAACAAGAAATATTAATATTAAAATATGCTCATATATATTTTTATACAAAACACAAAAAAAAAACCTTTTTTAATATCCCAGTATGAACAAATTTAAACAAAGTGAACATTTTCAACCATAAACTTGGTCTTCATCAGGCTAATGGCCAGTATAAATTATATTCGCTTTGTTTAAATTTGTTCATACTGGAATATTAATTAAAAAAATTTTTTTTTTGGTGTTGATTTATCTTCCCAGGAGTTGTGCGAGAGGTTGTTTTATATTTTGATAATAATTATATCTAGTGCTTACAAAGTCGAAAATTCTAGCAATGCATTTTATAATTCTGTTTTAACCTATGGCAAATACAATAACAATGACCACACCTTAGATAAATTCAATAATGGAACTATTACCTTATAACATTATTTAAAAGAAATTTTTATAAAAAAATTAGGCAGTTTACTTGAACATTATATTAAATCATATTATTAAGACTAATTGAAGTGTTTTCTCATTGCTTTTCTATATGTTTTTAATGTGAATATTTATGTTTTTTGATAGCATTCAAAATTTCTGAACTGAATAAAATTGACAAACCAAGTATCTAAAATAAAGTGAGCTATAATCTTTAAGCACATTTCTTAATTATTTTTTATAATTTATTTGTTATCTTTTATTGTTATCATATTTTGTATATCTGCTAAATAGCCTTTATATTTATTTAATTTTTAATTTAAATATAGTGTTAAATTGAATTTACATATATATCTGCTATGCAACCATTCACTTTTGTTTTTAATTTTTTAATTTAAAGATTTGCTGGATTAAAAGTTGTTGATCACTTCATTCAGAGTTCCTTAAAATAACTGAATTCTCTTAAAATGTTTTTTGCAAATTCTATACAATGTTGTCCATTATATGATTTTACTGATTTAAAGCAATTTCATAATTTTGTGTAGTACTGTTATAGCTGATAATGATGTAATCACCTAATTCATAACTATTGAAAAATTAGATTTTATTCATATATATATATAAAACTGGTATATACATACCAGTTTTATTGTTTTAAATTTATGAATATTTATATTAGTAAACTGAAAAAAATATCGGTTTAAAATAATAATAACAAAATATTTAATAATCAAAATTTTATGTTATATTTAAATTTATAACATTTGTAAATTCATTTTTACATTAAATAAAATTGAGACAAACAAACAAACATCAAAACATGGTAATTTTCCATGTTTTGATGTTTGTTTGTTGAATACTAGTTGAATTTTTCTTTTGAAAGAACATCAAATATTTTCATATTAGTTTCTATAATAAAAACTGGAACAGTATTTTCTTAAAATATTTAAAAGATATAAAAACAATCTTGTATAATGGTGATCTATTAGATCAATAATTCTTATACTCATTTAATGCATTGGCTTTAGATTTTGAACTATGAACCATTACAAGATCCAAACTTTATAAACTGAAATTGTGAGTTTCTCTAAAGTAGATACAGTAAAACCTGTCTATGGCGACCACCCACGGTTTCTTCAAAAAATGGTCTTTTAGACAGGTGGTCATCCAATACAGGTGGTGATGTAATACCGTATTTCCGTACGTATTTTGCTCACTTTTTAGCCATTTCTACTAAGAAAAACTCGAGGTGAGCAAATATAAGCGAATTTTTTCATCGATAGGACTATATTGGTACTGTATTGTATTTTATTCTTATAGGATAACTCGATTTACGGGAGTCATCGTGATTTTATAAGACAGATTTAATATCAATATTTTAAAGATTAATACAATAGTCGCATTTTCTCGATTATAA